GTACAGCACTTCCTGGAAAGACCCTGGATATGGAACAAAAATGATTTCGTGCTTCATGTTTATATGGGCCAGGCTCAAACTGATTAATAAATGATTTATTACACAGTGAAAGGCATATCTTCCCAACGGGACCATTGCCCTTTTGAAAACCATTTACCCAGGCATTACTCAAAGCTAGCCTCTCGGAGAGATGGGCCTGCGTTGTTTTGTACACTGACAGCTGGATCATGTTAAATTGTTTCTCTTCAGGATATTTTTCCCTGAATCTCTTTTCTTTCTCGAGCTCGTGGAATGATATGCTGTTGAAGGAACCCGATTGTGCCTCTTCAAGCAGCACAACCAAGGCAGAAACAAAGATTCGCTTTTGTCGTACTCTCGTACAGCAACAAATGCAATATTCCAGCCGTGCTGTGTTTGTGGGGCACGTTAAACAGTCACAAGTCCATTCATTCCAGCTTTGTTTCTTTCCTCTCTTATTAAACTACTTCTGTGAATTATGCGATCACTGTCGTGGGGCATTTTATTCCTTCACGGGACATGAGCAAAGCTAGTACTTTCTCCTCACCCCTCGCTGCCCTTGAACTTTTGAGAGAGCAGTTAGGAGCGAGCCAGGGTGTGGAGTCACATCTAGGTCAGACCAGGTAAAAGATGGCAGATTTCCCTTCCTGGAGTAAACTGATTGGGTTTTTTTTCCAAGAACCAACAACAGTGTTTGTGGCCACCATTCTCAGCAATAACTTTCAAATTGCAGCCTTTTAAAATTAACTGATTCAAAAGCTCACCATGCTGTGGTAGGATTCAGATCCACTGAGCCAGAGCATTAGCTACCACTACACTACTGTATGACCCATCACGTTTGACATCAGCAATACTTCAACGGAAGGGTATAATCAACTAGGGATCTCTCTCCCAATAGGTGTAGGCCATTGAGCCCATTGACTCTGCTCCACCATTCAATATAATCATGGCAGATCATCCACTTCACTGCCTTATATCAATCCCCATATCCCTGATCATCATTGGCATTTGGAAATCCATCAATCTCCACTGTCAACATTTCTAAAAACCTCAGCTTGGTTCTAAGTGGCTACCCCTTTATTTTGTAATAGTGTCCACAGTTGTAGACTCCCCAAACGGGGGAAACATTTCACCTGCACCAACATTAGGGAGAGGCAGTGGTATTGTAGGTGAGTAACCGGGAATCCCAGCCTAATGGTTTGAATTCAACCACGGCAGATGGTGACATTCAGTTAAGACGTGGAACTGAAAGCAAGTCTAATAGTGACCATGTAACTGTTGCTGATTGTTGTGGCTGGAACCATCACAAATGGCGCAGCATGGTGGCAAGGTTCTACAGGAAAGGGAATCTGCCGTCCTTACCTGTTCTAGCCTGCACATGACTGCAGACCCACAGCGATGTGGTAGGTTCTTCACTGCCCTCTGAAAAGGCCTAAAGAGCCATTCAGTTCAAGGACAAGTAGGAATGGGCCATAAATATTGGTCTTGCCAGCAGAACACACATACCTTGCTAGAATAAAGAAGCTGTCTATCCCTTTTATGTATCTTGCAATCTTCAACGAGATCAACTCTCATTCTTTGAAACTTTAGAGAATGCAGGTACACTTTACCCAATCTCTCTTCATAGAACAGTCCTGCCATCCCGGGGACTAGTCTGGAGAATCTTCAATGCAGTTCCTATATGGAAATGATATATTTTTTCCTTTATTTATTCAGGGGATGAGGGCGTCTCTGGCCAGGCAGCATTTATTGTCCATCCCTAATTGCCCAGAGGGCCGTTAAGAGTCAACTCCATTGCTGTGAGTCTGGAGTCACATGCAGGCCCAACCAGGTAAGGATGGCAGTTTCCTTCCCTAAAGGGCATGAGTGAACCAGATGGATTTTTCCCCAACAATTGACAATGGATTCATGGTCATCATTAGATTGTTAACGCCAGATATTTTATTGAATTCAAATTCCACCATCTGCCATGGCAGGATTTGAACCCAGGTCCCCAGAATGTTACCTGGGTCTCTGTATTAACAGTCCAGCAATAATACCACTAGGCCATCACCTCTTCTAAGAAAAGAGACCAGAACTGCGCACACTACTCCAGGCAGCTTGAACCAAGGTATGATAAAACTAGAGCAATACTTTGCTACTCCTGCACTCAAATCCACTTGTGATAAAGGCTAGCAGGCGTTGACACCTCCCTCCCCTCCTGAACTCCCAACTTCAACTGGAAAGAACCTATTTGAAGCCATTTCATCAGCCAACATCCACAGTCTTTACCTGCAACTGAGGACTGGTTGCCTGATTGAATAAGAAAGGATGAAATCATAGAATCCCTATAGTGTGGAAGCAGGCCATTCAGCCCACCAAGTCCACAATGCCCCTCCAAAGAGCATATGCCACCCAGACCCACCCCTGTAACCCTGCATTTCCCATGGCTAATCCACCTAACCTGCATATTGCTGGACACTACGGACAACTTAGCATAGCTAATTCACTGAAACCTACACGTCTTTGGACTGTGGGAGGAAACTGGACCAAACCCACACAGACACAGACAAAGACACAGTCAGAATGTGCAAACTCCACACAGACAGTTGCCCAAGGGTGGAATTGAACCCAGGTCCTGGTGCTGTGAAGCAGTAGTGCTAACCACTGGGCCACCATGCTGCCCCATTTATGATGATTCCAGCCACATTCCCAAACTTGAGCAGGGAAAACCCCTTACGCATGTACAATCGAGCTGCTTTTCTCAGCACAGCATAGGATCATAGATGGATTCCACACACAAACCTGTGTAGAAAAGTTGCCCCTCATGTCCCTTTTTAATCTCTCTCCTCTCACCTTAAACTTATGCCCTGTAGTTTTGAACTCCCCAACCTTAGGGAAATGATTTTTGCTATTCATCTTACCTATGTCCCTTTTAAAAAAGTCAATCCTCAACCTCCTACAAAGGTCCCAGCCTGTCCAGCCCCTCTTTATACCTCAAATACTCCAATCCTATCAACATATTTGTAAATTTTTCCTGCACCCTCCCCAATTTAAGTAATTTATTGTATGTGTGATGCTTTATTGACCATAGAGAAATCATATGACCTGTAACCTTTGACCCCCTTACTAATCATGAATCTATCTACCTCTGTCTTAAATACACTCAGTGACCCGGCCTAAACAGCGCTCTGTGGCCATGAGTTCCGCAGATTCACCACCCTCTGGCTGAAGAAATTCCTCCTCATCTCAGTTCTAAGAGGTCATTCCTTCACTCCAAGGCTGCGCCCTCAGGTCCACATCCCCTCTGTCCAGACCTCTCAGTATTCTATAAGTTTCAATCAGAACCCCCTCATCCTTCTAAACTCCGTCGAGTACAGACCTAGAAACCTCAACCTCCTCATATGACAAGCCCTTCATCCATGACATCATTCTCGTAAACCTCCTCTGGACCCTCTCCAATGCCAACAAATCCTTCCTTGGATACACGGTCTAAAACTGCTCACAATATTCCAAATGCAGTCTAACCAGACTCTTATACAGTCTCAGCAGTACGTCTCTGCTCTGGTATTCTAGCCCTCTTGAAATGAATGCCAACGTTGCATTTGCCTCTCTAACCACCAACTGAACCTGCATTTTAACCTTAAGAGAAAACTGAGCAAGGATTCCCAAGTCCCTTTGTGCTTCAGATTTCCAAAGCCTTTCCCTGTTTAGAAAATAGTCTATGCCTCTATTCTTCAGACCAAAGTGCATAAACTCACACTTACCCACACTGTATTCCGTCTGTCACTTCTTTGCCCACTGCCCTAGCATGTCCAGTCCTTCTACAGCGTCCCCATTTCCTCAATACTACCTGGCCCTCTACCCCTAAGTTTGTGTCATCTGCAAACTTAGCAACAATGCCCTCAGTTCCATCTCCAATCATTAATGTATGACATGAGTAGTGGTGGTCCCAGCAATGATCCATGCAGAACTCCACTTGTCACTGCTGCCATCCTGAAAAAGACCCCTTTATCCCCACTCTCTGTCTTCTACCAGTCAGCCAGCCTTCTATCCATGCCAGTATCTTGCCCCTAACACTATGGGATCTTATTTAGCAGCATCCTGTGGATCACCTTGTCAAAGTCCTCCTGGAAATCTAAATATATTACATCCACTAGCTCTCCTTTGTCTAATTTATTCGATTCCTCCTCTAACAGATTCGTCAGACAAGGCTTCCCCTTGACAAGGCCACGCTGACTCAGCCCTATTTTGCCATGCAATTCCAAGTATTCCACAATCCCATCCTTAATAAGGAATTCTCAAATCTTACCAACAACCGAGGTCAGGCTAACTGACCTATAATTTCCCATCTACTGCCTCCCTCCCTTCTTAAACAGGGGTATCACAGCTGCAGTCTCCAGTCCTCTGGGACCCTCCCTGGCTCCAGTGATTCCTGAAAGATCACCATCAATGCCTCTACAATCTCCTTCAGAATCCGGGGGTGTAGTCCATCTGGTCCACCTTCAGATCTCTCAGCTTCCCCAATACCTTCTCCTTAGTGATGGCCGCTACACTCACTCCTGCGCACCCCCCACCCCTCCCCCAATAAAGTCCCAGTGTGCTGATGGTGTCATCCAGTGTGAAACCTGATGGAAAGTACCCACTCAGTTCCTCCACCATGTCTTTGTTCCCCATTGCTACTTCTCAAGCTTCATTTTCCAGTGGTCCACTGTCCACTCTCTCCTACCTTTCATTTATCTAAAAAGATCTCTTGCAATTTTCTTTCATATTACTAGCTAGCTTCCCCTCATATTTCATCTTTGTCCCCATTATTACTTTTCACTTATCCTCTGCTCGTTTTTAAAGGCTTCCCAAATCTTTGGCTTCCCACTAATCTTCATCACATTGTACACTTTTTCCTTTGCATTTATGCTGGCCCTGACTTCCCTTGCCAGCCACAGTTGCCTCATCCTCCCCTTAAAATATTTCTTCTTCCTTGGGATGAATTTCTGCTGTGCCTTTCAAATTACCCGCAGGTACTCCTGCCATTGCTGCTCTACCACCTTCCCTGCTAGGAACCACTTCCAATCAGCTCTGCCCAGCTCCTCCCTCATGTCTTTGTAGTCCCCTTTACTGAACTGTAATACCGTCACATCTGATTCCAGCATCTCCCACTCAAACTGCTGGGTAAATTCTATCATATTATGCTCACTGGCCCCTAGGGATTCCTTCACCTTAAGCTCCCTGATCAAGTCTTCCTCACTACACATCACCAAATCTAGTATTGCCTGTACCGTAGTGGGCTCTACCACAAGCTGCTCCAAAAATAATCTTATAGACATTCCACAAATTCCTTTTCTTGAGATCCACCACCAACCTGATTTTCCCAGTCTATCTACATATTCAAGCCCCCCACCCTTCCCCATGATTATTGTAACAGTGCCTTTCTTACATGCCTTTTCTAACTCCTCATTTATTTTCTTCTCCACATCCTGACTACTGCTCAGAGTCCTGTAAATAAAGCCTGTCAGGTTCTGAGGAAGGGTCACTGGACCCGAAATATTAACTCTGTTTTTCCCTTCACGGATGCTGCCAGACCTGTTGAGCTTTTCCAACAACTTCTGTTTTTGTTCTATTAGGGTCCTTTCTCCTTTATGGTAGCTCAACCCTACCCACACAGATTCTACACGTCCTGACTCTGTATCGTTTCCTGATATTGATTTAATTTCATTTCTTACTAATAAGGGCCTCTGCCCATCTGCCTGCCCTTTCATTAGGATGTGTATCCTTGGGTATTTAGTTCCCAGCCTTGATCCCCATGCAGTGTTGTCTCTGTGATACCCACAACATCATGCCCACCAATTTCAATCTGCACTACAAGATCATTTACCATGTCCCGTACACTGCATCATTTAACAACACCCTCAGTCCTGCACTGAAGGGGGCCCTTCTCAGAGATGTCCCCTTACATGCTGTGCCTGAGGTTACATTCCTGGCCCTTTCCATACACTCTGTGCTATTACTTGTTCTGGAAACTTTACTAACTTTGCTGAGTCCTCCTTGCCTTTAATGTTTTCCATAATTTTCCATGCAACTAAATTCCCCAAACTCACTGTTTAGTTTAACGTTCAATCCACAGCCCTAGTTATGAATTTCCCAGGACTCCCAGCATGTCCCAGCATGCTTCAGGTGGAGCCCATCCCATTGGAACAGCTCCCTCCTTCCCCAGCACTGGTGCCAATGTCCCATGAATTCGAACCTGTTTCTCCCACATCAATCTTTGAGCCGCACAATAATCTTATTGACCCACTGCCAATTAGTTCATGGCTCAGGTAGTAATCCAGAGATTATGATCATTTTGGTTCTGTTTTCTAATTTCAACCCTAGCTGCTCATATTCCCTCAGCAGAACCTCATTCTATCTATATCATTGGTACCTACGTAGACCACAACAAATGGATCCTTTCCCTCCCACTCCAAGTTCCTTTGCAGCCCAGATGAGATATCCTGAATCCAGACACCAGGCAAGAAACACAGCCTTCGGGTTTCTTGATCCTAGCCATAGAGAACAGTGTCTATTCCCCTGTGTATAATATCTCCAATTACAACTACATCTCTCTTTTCTCCCCACCCTTCCTGAATAGCTCCCCGTACCACAGTGCTATGGTCAGTTTGCTCATCCTCCCTACAGCCCCCAGTCTTACCCACACAGGGAGGAAGAATCTCAAACCTTTAGACAAGCTGAAGAACTGAGGCTCGTTCAGCACTACCTCCTATATCCCTCTACCTACCTCGCTCGAAGTCACACCCTCCTGTGCCTGACCACTGACTGAATTCGACGTAGTTAATCTAAGGGGTGTGACTGCCTCCTGAAACACAGCATCCAAGTAAATCTTCCCCCTCCCCGATGTGCTGCAGTGTTTGAAGCTCAGACTCCAAACTCTGAGCCGGAGTTCCTTGGACAACCAACACTTTCCACAGATGTAGTCACTATGGGGCACAGTGGAGTCCACCAGCTCCCATATCACGTCGCCTGATCTAGTATCTCTATTTAATTACTTAGCTCTTGATTTTATTTTTAAATCCTACCAGTTTTTTAGTTTGTAACATGGAATATTTTCCATATTTTTCTTCAGTCTGAAAGTAACCTATAATAGATAGCTACTAATTTGACTATCACCAACCAATGAGCTTACAGTTCACCAGTGACGTCACTCTTTCATGGTGGGCCCCTGATCCTATTTTTTTAAAAATTATAAACTATGAGCCAAAGAGAGCAGGCAAAAAGTATCTTTTCCCTTCTTCATCAAATTCTCACGTGGCCTCCTGACTCCCCTAACTATATACTTACTCAGGTTACAAGGTGTAGAGCTGGATGAACACAGCAGGTCAAGCAGCATCAGAGGAGCAGGAAGGCTGACGTTTCGGGTCTGGACCCTTCTTCAGAAATATAGTTACTCAGGTTGTGTCTCGCTTTGGCTGAGATCTCTCATTACTGACCAGGTCAGCCATGATCTTACTGAATGGGACCAAAAGACTTTTTCCGACTCTTAATTTATCTGTTTGTACGTTCACATGCTTTGAGATGTCATAACACTTACGTAACAAATCTGGATGAAATAAAAATGTTCCATATTAAATAATTCAATTGGAACAGTGATCGTTACTAATGTATCCACGGCATTTTTCCTGCCTCATGTAACTCCTGAACGTCAGCAGCCTTAAACTAAAGACTTTGCCATCACTTGCAAGAAATTAAGCAGCTCGGTGATTTCAGGTTTTTCGGGTTCCTAGTTAGCTGAGTATTCCACTGTTGAAATGTTTAAAACTGCACTGTCTCACCTTTACCCTCCTCATTGTAGCCCCTCTCACTGATTTACATCCCTCCACATCTTTACAGTCCCTCTTCCCCCACTTGGAATCCCTCACTCCCCTTTACACTGCAGAAATTCACCAATGATTCTTAGACAGCATCTTCCAAACCCATCTGGAAGGACAAGGGGCAGCAGATACATGGGAATACCCCCACCTTCAAGTCCCCTTCCAAGCCACTCACCATCCTGACTTGGAAATATATCGCCGTTCCTTCACTGTTACTGGATCAAAATCTTGGAATTCCCTCCCTAAGGGCATTGTGGGTCAACCCACAGCTGGAGGACTGCAACGGTTCAGGAAGGCAGTTCACCACCACCTTCTCAAGGGGCAACTAGGGACAGGCAATAAATGCTGGACCAGCCAGCGACACCCACATCCTTTTAATGGTTTTTTTGTATAAATCACTTTTCTTAAGACTGGAAAAGCTCTGTGAAATATTTGCTCATTTTTTCCAGTCATTCAGTAACTGTTGTTTATATTGCCACCTCTGACCCTGAATTCTGTCTCTCCTCACTCGATGTCCATTTCCTCACTTGGTCTGTCCCTCCACCTTTGACCTGTCTGCCTCTCTTCACTCCATTGTTAATCTCTTCCTTCCATCCCCAGTCCTTCTGTCTGTCTCTCCCTTTAACATCTAGCCTTCTGTATCTCTCTCTCTCTCTTTCTCCAGCATCAATCCCTCTTTCTTCTCTTTCTCTACCTCCAACCAGTGAGTCTGTCCCTCCAAGTTTGACCTCTTTGTCTGGACTAGAGGACATCAGTCGACAACGCATTGCATACCTACCAACGACAACAAATTGGCACCTGAAACATCAGTCCAGGAGACTATAAACAAGCAGGAAAATTACAGGCTTTTTGTGTGCTGACAGTTTAGACCATATTTGTACAGCAACAGGAGAGAGTTTATCAGAGTCTGATCGTTGAGCAATTTGCGAGCTGGCAGGGAACTTTCTGTGTTCATTCTCAGAGCTGCAGTTACCTTATGTGGAGCTTTTTGTCCAGCCAAAATATTCAGATTTTTTTTTACTGTGGGGCTGTCACAGATTTGAAAGTTAGGGAATGTCCAGAATGCATTATGAGGTGTGAGCTCTCATCTTTCTCAGGGAAGTCTTTCACCCCATTCGATATTTTGGTAACTTGCTCCCTCTCCAGAGACACGGGAATGTGCATTTTTAAAGCAGGAGTAGGTCATTCAGCCCTTCGATCCTGCTCTACCATTCAATAAGATTATTGCTTGTGGTCTCAACTCCACCTTCCTGTCCAGTCTAGCCCAGCCATAACTCTCCACTCTCTTGTCTATCAATAATCTATCTAAAACAATTTATATGGATGGGCCAAGTCCTGGGGAATTGGATTGGAATTGTTAGGTGCTTGCTTTTGACCAGTATGGACTTGATGGGCTGAAGGGCCTTTTTTGTGCTAGAAACCTCTATGTCTCCTGGATTCAACCTGGAATAAACTGAATGACCCAGTCTCTCCTGTTTTCTGGGCAAAAGCATTCCACAGACGATAGACCCTCAGGGAGAGAAACAAATTCTCCTTGTTTCTATTTTAGAGAGACCTCTTATTTTTAATCTGTGACTCCTGGTTCTTCTCTCCCCCACAAGAGGGAACATCCTCCAGGTGACCGAGAATTTCTGAAGAAGGGTCTAGGCCCAAAACATCAGCCTTCCTGCTCCTCTGATGCTGCTTGGCCTGCTGTGTTCATCCAGCTCTACACCTTGTTATCTCATATCCTCCAGGTGACCTCCCTATTTAGTTTCCCAAGGTTCTTATATGCTTCAACAAGATCATTCTTCTTAACTCCAATGTGTACAGACCCAAACTGCTCAACCTTTCTTCATAAGATAAACTGGTTGACCCAGGACTGAGTCAAATGAACCTTCTCCAACTTGAAAACATAATCCAGTGCACGCTCCAGGAGGGGCGTCATCTTTTGGATCAAGTCAAAAATCACATGATACCAGGTAACAGTCCAACGGGTTTATGTGAAAATAACAAGCTTTTGGAGCACCACTCCTTCATCAGGTGCAGTGAGAGAGGGCACACAGACACAGAGTTTATTGGCAGAAGATCAAAGGAGTGAACAAACATAAAATGGTTGATGGAGAACTCTGTTAGACACGAGACGCAAGTTTTGATTGATTAAGATGCAAATTCCAGGATCTGTTTCAAGTCACTGCCCTGACATAATTAAAGGTTTTATCAGTGTCTGCTTAACTTTCCAAACTTCAAACAGGCAGAGATACAAAAGGTGACATCTCAGATCAAATACTGAATTGTAGGTGTGAGGCCTCATTCAGAATCTGTCTCCGTGTTTTAACCTGGGATCAGGCTGGTTTTATTCCAAAAGCGGGAATTTATAAAATGCCACACTGACTGACTGTGACTACAAATTGTATGTTTTTTGAACTAAATAGAATGTATCTGTAAATATACAA